ATATATATATATATATATATATATATTAGGAAGTATACAGTAATTAAGCTACATTCAGAAGTTTTTAACCTCAACTTGATGCTGTAATGACTGGATGTAATTAATTATCTCATCAAGGACAAGAGCTTTGCCAATAACCTGAATCAAAAATCCCCAATTTAGAAAATCAACTCAAGTTCAAGAAACCAATTATATCGCATTCAGAATATACAGTTTCCAGGAAATTCCATGGTATACCTTATTGCAACCAGGGACCAAATCCTGAAGAATTTTCATCCTTTCACTAATCTTCTCCCTTCTAGCCTGTCCAATAATAAAAATAAATCATTCATCAGTGAAACTCACCCTGGCAGCTCTTTATTACATTAGATTGCCCGAAACCAGGACAAAGGTTAAGAGGATGAAAGTAAATTACTCTCTCCGCCAAACTGTGGCTGTCAGTGGCTTGGCCCCTCCTGGCCCGTACATGGATGTAATCTTGTTTAGGTGGCTCAGGTGATGGTTGAGCTTTTTGTTCCACAGGCTTGCCTGAACTGTTTTCTGCTCTAGCTTTCGAATCAGGATTCTCATCTCTACATCCAGATATTTTAACCCTTTTCCCCTCACCATCATTCTGCATAAAATCAGAGCAGAAAATTTCAACAAAACTCCAAAAGTTAATTCCTTCAATCTCAACATTAAGGAAAGCAAAGAGGCAATGAACTATTATTAGAAATAAATACATCATGAAAGCAAAACTGAGCAAATACCACGCCATTCCCACCGCTTTTGGACACGACCTTAGTCGCCTCCTCCTCCGCATCGCGCCGCCTTCTGACCCCACCGCGCTGCTCCAAACGCATCGGATCATTACCCTGACCGAACTGATCCCTCCTCATCCCAGATTCATTCATCGGGTACTGCCAGATCTCAACCAAATTGTACTCTCCGTCACTCATCATCGCCGGTGGATCCATTAAAAAAACCCAAAATTTAAACTCAAAATCCCCCACAAACCATTAACCCAATCTATCTCTTTCCTCAACTCGAGCAGAAGCTGAATTTATAATCAAGAAAAACGGAAGGGATATTGTGGTCTCTCTATATTCAAAAGCGGTGATCTCCTTGAACAACGGAGACTGGCACACGCACCGTGTGCTTCTTTCTCTTTTTCTATTCCCAGAGATGGACGGACTATCCTCAGTGTTTCAGAGGGACAGATACCTCGGGAATGGCGACGAAGTCACTTCCCCCCAGTGAGGTTTGCTCGGAGGGTCCAGCGTTTCCATGCTTCAGGGCTCCTGGACTTTATACACCCCCACGTGCTCGTCCGTCCTACTTTCCCACCGTCTGATTGCATTACCCTTTTCTGATTGACGGTGGAGACTGGATACAGTGTGGGGTCACTGGGTACGTTTTAGCTGCTGATCCCCGTACGAATGCTTACAGTACAGTAGTATACCAAAAGAAGAAACTTTATTTTATTTCGGTTTAATTTGTAGCAACTGGGTTTAGGATGATTATGTTGATTTTGATGTTTATTATGGGAAAAAGTTTTCAACGGCTCAAATGATTGTTTTGAATACTGACTGAATGGATAATGATGGATTAGACGTGGAATTTTTCAAAGCGGCAAAGAAAGTGATGTATGTGAGCATTGCCGAGATTAAAATTTTCAAAATCTCAAAAAAGTTTGTGACCGCAAGACACTACTGGTAATCATTTGTAAAATTCAAATTGTAAAGTAAAATACAATATTAGCTGTTCAATAGTGGGTCCTTCTTTATCATTAGAAGAATTAATATTTTTTATAATTTAATATAATACAAAGGGAAAAGTGTGAATAAATTTTAATTTTTACAATAAATTAAAATTTTAATTTTAAAATATTTTATTTTATTTTATTAAAATTTAATTGAAAATTGAAAATTTTATTTTATTAACTTTTGTTATTTAAATTTAAAAACTAATTATATATTTTAATATAATTAGTTTTTAAATTTAAATTTTAACATTTTAATAAAATAAATTTTTAAATATAAGTTAAATACACATTAACTTTTAATTTAAATTATTAAACACTTTTTTTGAAATCAACAAGCTCGTTCAATAGAAGGGTGAGTCATCTTAATTTGATGGTGATTTTCGAACAGCAAAAACAAAGAACTTAAAAAAAAAAAAAAATCTAATGACTAAATATAGAAAAAATCCTTAAGTGGGCTTACAATACATGGCCAAAAAGTGGGCTTACAGTAGGCCCAACACAGCCGAGGAGTAATTAATTTTAATCAACGTAAACAGTTAGTTGTAAAAAAAAAAACATAGTTTGGCCAAATTGACATATATCCACCAATTTAAAATTTTTAATTTAGGGTTAGGATAAAAGATTCAAACTTTTGTGATATCAAGCAATTAATT